TCTAAGGCTCTTCCCCAAACGTTTGGGGATTGAGAGATGGAGTGGTAGAATGTACAAATACTGCCATGAATGGGCAGAGGCAGTTTCAGGGGTGTAGGGCGGCAGCATTGGCTGGGGACATGCCCACCGGGCTGGCTCCCTAGGGACCCAGGAGTCAGAGGCCCACACAATCTGCCTCTTTGCTTGGAGGATGAACAGCACAGCATGCACTCTGGCCGCTCCCTTGCAGGGATTCTCTCGACTTGGCTCTGTACCCACAAGCCACCTCATTTGAGCTTGTGTGAGGTGAGGTGCTGGAACCAAGCTGACACCAAGATTCATCTACTAGGCATGTAACCTCGGACAGACCGCTCCTCTGTGCCTCAGTCTCCTGTAAAATGTAAATACTAAATACAGCTTATAAACAGATGTGAAGGTGAACAGAGTTAACACAGGTCAAATGCTAAAGAGCAGGGTGTGTGTGGAATAAACTCACATTAAAGTCCCCTGTTATTACACGGGTTCTGAAATTATCCCTTTAGGTTATTTTCTGTTACTTAGCAATGGACTGAGAATCGGGGCAAGTGCTAGAGAAACTTAACAGCTTCTGCCTCGTGAAACCTTTAAAGATACTGTGACGGACAGCTCCTCTGGCAGCTTCCCTCCTGGCCACCCAGCTGCAGGCTCACTTGGGGCAGGTGTTTAATGCCCCGTTAGCACCTCACTGCCTGTTGTGGGCACTAACCACCGCAGCTGGCTCCCTCTGGACTGGCTGAGCTGCCTTGAAACTATTCTTGCCACGGCCCAGGCTTCCCCAGCTAGTCCGGATTCCTTCTGCCCTTTACCCAGAAAGTGAAACAAGTTACTGGCTAGATTTTGGAAGCATATGTGCATTTTAAAAACACATGACTTCTGATCCTGCCCTAGCACCTGATAGAGAACTCAGGATGGCTTCATTCACCCAGAACCTTCCTTCTCTTCTCTCCCACCCCACACCTGTGGACACACCCTCCTCACCCTCACTCCTTAGGGTTTAGAATGCAATCAGGCAGGGAGGCAAGGGCTCAAATTTGAAACAGATGTTTGGGATGATGAGTGAAGTCAGGGTGGGGACACTAGGAAGGATGTGGACCCTTCTAGAACTGCTTGCTCTGACCTACTGCCAAGGCTGGGGGAAAACAAGAGTGTTCCTGGTTAAATACCCGGCTAGTCCCTGTGCCAGGCGTTCCCAGACCTCAGTCCTCAGAGGCTCTGGCTCAGCCTCCAGAGTTCTCCATACCCTAGTGCCAACCACTAACTTGGCCCCGCTGTTCTCACAGCATTAAGCCCCTGAGCCCAGTCTCACCCCAAAAGTCAGGACTAGAGTTCTGCTTCCTCCCCCCCCCCCCATAGCTAATCCACATTGACATTTTTAAAACCAACACTTAAGATATGCTCTGACAAGAGAGATTTGTGCTCGTTCCTGGTGTGAGAGGCTGTCTGGAAGACTTTGGAGATGCCAAGACAATAGAATTTTCAAGGTTCTAGGGAAGAAATAGATGAGAAACACTGTAGAGTTTGCAGATGGATGGCTGTTCCCCGACCTCTCCCACAACGTCCCCAGAGTGGCACAAATGAGCCATCCTGGATTCATTCAATATGTTTGCTACCCTGAGAAAGACACAAAGTGCCCTCTATAGAACAGTTTCAACCCCATTGCAGGGTACTATCTGAGGAAACACAGGCTGGTATTATCATGAACAAGGCTTCGAAGAAATCCTTTAGGACAGGGAGCACAGGGGACTGGTGTTCTTGAGGCAGGGTTCAAACACACACGCATCCAGCTGTGGAGGGAATGGCCCACAACATACACCCAGCTCCCAGAGAGGAACAAACACACAGCACACAGCAGAGACCTCAGGACTTGTTTCCTGGGTTTGACTAATGCTAAGGGAAAACTAGAATGAAGTTCAATGTGTCCACCCATGGCGGCCACGAACCAGTGTCACGTCTCTTCATAGTGGTGATTCACTTCTTCGTGCTTTGGGGTTCAATGGAAACGGCTTTGTCTTTCCTCTGCCGTCCCAATTATTCTAAGCAAGCACACATGTTTGATTGCTATTAATGTTGAAAATATTCCCTTTCCCCATTCACTCAAGATTTTAATTTCATTCACTAAGCTGCAGGCAACTGGCCAACTTTCTGCTGCCAAAGTCAATACCCAGGTCTCCCATGTCTAGGGGAGCAGGTTAAAGGAGAACTGGTCCTAAGATCATGGAACTCCCTTTCCCAGCCCAGTGCATGATTGGCAAGGCCGGCCACAGACTACTTATGGTACGAGAACTCGCCCCATGGGTCTGTTTGAGTCCATCTTTACAAGAGTTCTTTCTTCTCTGAAAGTCAGTGGGGCGAGTGATTTCCCTTTGTTAAAGGAACTAGACATTTCACTTGCAGCCCTTACTGTATGATAGTCTCCAAACGCATAAAAAGAAACAGTCCTGTCCCCGTGAAAAGAAAGCAAAATGTTAAACATGGAGACATGTGGCCCTGAGCTTGTGTGCCTAAGCCTCAGGGACAGGGCACAAAACTGGGAGGTACACACAGGCATGTTCTATCTGGGGCCTCAAGCTCTCTGTGGTGTCCCACATACAAAGAATGGTTGCTGAGATACACATAGGCACAGAACTGGAGGGGGCAGACCACAAACCCATGATGGAACCGAAACTAGGTTTGAGGTGGAGAGTGTTTTTAACAAAAGTTAACCGACAACTTGGGAGAGTCAGATGTAGGACTTAGTAGACCCTAAAATGATGACACATACTCCTGTTACACAATAACACAACATTGTGCATTCAAAGTAGCTTAAGAGCCATCAACCTCCTCCAGCTGGCTTGCAAATCCTGATATCCCTGACTCTGCTAATGGGCAGAGGAATGTCTTGGCAGCTTCTCTGAGTGGGAGTTCTGGAGAAGAGGGAACACTCAGCCTGTAAAGCATAGAAAGCTTCAGGTTCCACCTCAGACAAGCCAACAGCGCAGGTGAAGATGACAACTTCAGCCTGAAGGAACAGGAACCTCCCACAAAGACAGACTATGCTTATATCGTCAGTAGATTCATGGTGTTAGTGGTGTGTCGGGGAAAGGGGTGTTCCCTTTATTCTGGCACTCCTGAAATTGTATGCTTTTCAGTGAAGTGTGCTCCAGGAACTTGGCCTTACTAGTTGGTGCTGTTTCATATAGACAGGAGATTTATTCAAATGAGTCTTTCTCGGTAGACAGTTACCAGAGATAAACATCAGAGTACTGTGTCTGACCTCATTGGAATCATCCCATTTGCATGTGACCAAGGGTTTTCCACCAATGTAGAGATAAAAATAATTTTAGGACCCGCAACCCTCGGTTACATCCTCAGGGGTGTCTTGTGTTCTTTATGCAGGGCTCCATTTGAAACTTGGCAGTCTCTTCTCCCAGATTATTAGCTCACAGTTCTACAAGACTTTCTCCATGCAGATTTTAAAGCTGTGACTATTCGCTGCACCTCTTGAAAAGTCTCCACCCTGGAGCAGAGCCTCCCCTCCATCAACCCCAGATCACAGTGACTAGTAGGTAAACCAAGATATACGGTATTCATCTGGCGCACCCAGCATCAGGTAAGGGTGACACAGGCAGGCAGGAAGCCCAATGTCTGGGTTTTCTGTCTAAACTAATCTTCAAGAGACAAACCAAAACGTCAAGTTGAGGTTCCAAAAAGAAACAGACCCATGTTCAAATACAGTTCTGGAGCCAAGTATGGTGGCGCATGCCTTTAATCCTAGCATTCAGGAGGTAGAAGCAGGAGAATCTCTGTGAGTTCTAGGCCAGCCTGGACTACACAGAAAGACCCTGTCTCAAAAAAAAAAAAAAAAGCTACTAAGTCAGATATACCAGCCCAGTTGACATGTTTGAGTCATCTTCAATAATAATAATAATAATACCATACTTGTCTGACACTTAATAATGTCCCACTGACTATCACAGAGAATCACAAGCATGTCAGACCACAGGTCATAAATGCCAAGGAGTATCTAATGTAGCAGTCTCAAAAGATATGATTAATCAGGTTCAGCACCAGGAGTCTGGGCTAGAGTCTCATGGGACCAAGATGGTCTCAGGGGTTCCTAAAACCAGCCGTGAAGGTGCAATTAGAAGTACAGCAAGTGGGGGATGGTGGCTGCCAGAGTGCTAACAGTGTTCACCTGTGGTGAGTGATGTAATCCCACATACGTCCTCTTTTTTTGTTTTTTTTTTTTTTTTAGTATATGTACTGTCAAAGCGAGCACATGCTTCCTCTTTTACTGTTTTGTTTGGGGCTTTGCTGTTGTTTGACACCGGGGTGGGGGTTGTATTATCAAAGTCTTACTGCATTACTCAGGCTGTTCTCAAACTCCTGGGCTCAAGTGATCCCTTCTAGCCTAGAACTACCACATCCACCTTGCTTTAACTTTTAAGATTTTGTTTTTTTAATGTGTGTGCCTGTGTACCATATTTGTGCAGATGCCTGCAGACATCTGGGTCCTTGGATTCCCGGGAACTGAAGTTACAGGCAGTTATAAGCTGCCCAATGTAGGAGCCACAAACTAAGGCCAGGTCCTCTGTAAGAGCAGCAAGCATTCCTAACCACTGAGCCATCTCTCTAGCCCCCCCCCCCCTTTTAACTTACTTAGAAATTTTCTCTATTGACTTTCTGATATAGAAAACAACAAATTAATGTGTAAAGATTATAATAGATATCCTTTGTTCATTTCTAACTAGTTTCCTTCTCAGGATCTGAGCACAAACACTTTCCCACTGGGTTGCTATCTACAGCAAGTAGTGTGGCCCTACCTGGCCCTGAGGATAGGTATTGGAGACTAACCAGAGTCCCAAGTGCACACTCTATCCACAGCAGACTACTCCCCACTTCCAGAGGAATTACCAATAACATTTAAAAGCCTCTCTAAACATTTCCCTTCCCCTCTTCTATTTAAGTTCTGCTCCCCACCCCCACTCAAACAGTCACTTAGCTCTCGATTCTTGTAGGCATTTTATTTACTGTACAAACTATTTACATCTCCAGTTACCGACGTCCAGACCTTGCCTGACAATGTGCAGAGAGCTCAGTCTCTGCCAAGTTTCTAAAATCACGCCGACACTCTTCTTGGTTTTCATTTCATGACTTGTCTCCTTCAAGGACATTGAAAAGCCAAAAGCCAGGAGAGCAGCTGGCCTCCCAAGTGCCTATGTCACAAAGCATTAACAGAAGAACTGGCCAAAATAAGGGATATGAATAGAAAATTGCTCAGGAAATAACATCTCCTTTTATCTCTCCCACATTCTGTATGTCTTCCCCACTGGACTGGCTAGTGCCCAAGCAGTATTAGACAAAAAAGGTAAAAGAAAATGCAAAAGAGAGCAAAACTGCTTCTGAATAGTTAGGAGAGAGTAATCTGGAATAGAAAAATCACATAGTACTAAAGGGGTTTTTGTTAAAGACTTTGGTGCCTAAAGACCACCCTAGGATAGAGCTGCCCCAGCTGGGCTGCAACAGTGCCTCGGAGACTCTGAAAAAGTGCTATGACTAGAGCTTAAAAGGATAGATCTAGCCAAGAATATAAACTCGACCCCCCTCACCCCCACGTAATCTTGAGAGGGGTGCTGGAGCCAGGACTGCAGAATCCAGGACAGGAACAAACTGCCCCAGACAGCCAAGCCAGCCCATGTACCCCAGTTGGAAGCCCCAATGGAGGCCTGAGAGGCAGCAGGGTAATGGCTAAACTATCTCGTACATGTTCCATGGGAAAGTGTGGGCAAGCAGCAGCACCTTGTCCTGGTCCCTGAGGAGAGCAGTGACCATGTGGCATGGAGGATCCTGGGGTGTAGAGGCCCTGGTGCCAGGTCTTACACCCCAAGGATAAGTGAGGTCAGCACCCACGCCAAGAAAGGACAAACGATGACTGCGAAGGAGGTCAGGCTGGAGTTCTAGCAGCTCAGGAGGGCTTGTTCCTCTGGAAACAGGAGGGCTCAGACATGCTTCCAGGCCAAGGCACTGTCATAAGAACTACCTTGTCTCGGGATTCCACATACTTGCTGGTTTTGGCAATAAAGATGGCTTGTAAAATTCTGAGTATCCCATCAAAAATGGTGGCTTATAGCAAAGCCTCTTTAAAGACAGAAACTTCGAAGTCCATGTGATCTTGAGCCTTAATGTCATTTTCACTCAAACACTAACGAAAAGAGATGCTATCACCTTCCAAGAGACTGTCAAGTTCTCTTTAATCACCACATAATGGTGAACCCAATATAGCTTCCTCCCTCCTGGTAACTGATGAAGCCAAGTACCTGGAATTGCTAGGTATTTACTGCTGCTCAATCTCCACCATATCTATCCCCAATGGCCTGACCCGGGACCTGTGATGACAGTTCTGCCTCAGGGCTACCAGGAGACTACCACCAAAGGGAGCAGGCAAGCTACATTCACTGTTTCGGTCCTTTGCTCCCAAATTCCTCCAGAATGCTAAAGATAGTTCTTAATGGACTGCATAAGTTGGAGGTCGGTGGTCAGGCCAAGTCATCCTTCAGTGGAAACAACAAGCTCAGAGAAGAGCATCAGTAGTCTTCAAGCCATCCACATGCCTGGACACGGTCCTTCCCAGAGAGAAGCACAGCCGTCCTTCACATTCTTCTGACTGCTTTCCTCACTGGCTCAAACTCAAGAGAAAGCTTAGCACATTCTTTATAGATTAATGATCATCTTCAAAAATGCCTTCAGGGAGTGTCTTTTCCAGTTGTCACCACAAAGAGATCCTTTTGTACTATCAGTCCCCATCAGTACAATGGTCTATGGCAGCCACTACATGGGAGAGCAAATCAGACGGCTTTTGTGAGCCACCTTCCATCTGTGCTTCTCCTGGCTACTGATGAGAAGAGGTGATGGGTTGCCCAGGAGAAGGGATCATGTACCAGTAGTGACATCAAGGAGGGTATTTCCAAAGAGCAGAGGGTGCTGGAACAAGGCATGGCTTAAGGGTCTCTCAGCTTGCCAGTTTTCCAACAGAATTGAGTCCTCCATGTCATCCATCTCTCCCAGCCACTGAGGCAGGTCCAGCTACAGAAATCTTCAAAGGACCAAAAGAAATGACAGCAGCATGGTCCTCTTCTCGTGACTGAGTGGAGCTCAGATAGGTACCATGTGCCCAAGAGGCCTGTAGTAAATGTGGACACAGAGGAGGTGAGGTAAGAACAATGCTTGCAGACGACAGAATACTCCAGACACGAGGGAGCATGCAGTATCTTCTGGCTAATGGTTATGTGTGTTAAGGTCAGTGGTTACGCTTGTTAACATGTGTCCAGATGTTCTAGAGAGTGTGGGAGCCAAGCAGGTGACAGAGGAGTGGTCAGAGCATGCCAAAGCCCTCGCAACCCTCACTGATGGCCAGCTGCAGCATCCTGTGCACCTCTTCATATGAGTCATATGTAGGGAGGCACAGTTGGTTAAAACTGGAAAAACAAGGAGGAAAAGGATTAATTCGTACTACAAGAAACATGAGCAAAGGCTAGAAAGAGAATCTCCCACAAGGGATGTTCTGGGCAGCCAGACACCTACCATGTGTGTGCTGTGGGAAGAGTGCTGTGGGTTGGAGCAGCGATGATCTGAAATGAGGGACAGAGGGCAGCAAAGCCTCCAGGCGGAAGCTGAGAGGAGCCTGTTGTGAACTGAAGTAGCCGGGCCAATTCCTCCTGGGTCAGACTGGAAACCACAGTCCAAAACCACCTCATGACCTGGCAGGAAATACAGGGCTCAGGTCAGACATGTGTGCGGCCACTTGATCCTAAGGGTTTGATCCTTAAGGAAGGAACAGGATACTCTGGATACTGTGGGTAGGCGTATGCTCACATTTATAGTTCTATGAGGTACGGATAGCAACCTCTGCAAGAACTGAGATTGTCACAAGGTCAGAAGAGAAAAAACAATTGATTGCTTTGCTCTGTTTACTTGCATTTCCCATTTTCTGCCCCAGTGGCAGTCAACCTAACTGTTTAGGGACCTGCGCTCCTTTCAGCTTGGATAACTGCCTGTTCTCCCCACGTGTATCACCTTTGGGTCAGTCACCATGCCAACTTCTCTGACTCCTCTACTTTATTCCTTTAAAACCTTTCCCAACAAGATGACACCAATCCTAACTGTACAAAGTTTAGCCTATTACCTTTTCTCTGAAATGCCAGGAGCCACCAACCACTACAGCATGGGCTTTGAAGTCAGACACACTGATGTCTCCAGTCCCACACATCAGCAGCTAAAGAGACAGACAGAAGAACAAAGACACACTATTTAGTCAGTTACCTATTGACATGGAATGCAGAATAAAAGCAATGCCAGGATCACAGTGCCAGAATGAACTGCAATAGGCCAATGATTCCTAACCAGTGCGATACTTAAAAACAAACAAACAAACAAACAAACCTGGGACATGGGGCCCAGGAGTGGACGTGCAGTCTGGGGTTGAAGGACAAGCTTTAAGGGGTTTAGCGGGCGGTGGGCAGTGTCTTCCCTAAGGTTCCCAGGACCACTCTGGCCTCTGGTACAGCTGCAGGGGGAGGGGGTGAGTTGTGGGCCTAGATGTGCTTGTATCACAGACTCAAATAACAAGAAAGACAGACAGATATGCTTGTAGCTGCACCCCAGGTCTACTGTATCAGAATCTCTAGAGCTGGGCTGTAAGCTTACGTAACTGAAAAGGTGTTTCTGGTGAGCTGCTATGGATTCTTTGTAATTAAACGATAAAAATTAAAGAAATAAAAGAAACGGTATAGGAATGCCAAGGAGAGAAGCCCTTTCCCTTTGATGAAAATCCCTAGTCCCGTTTATGAGGGTTTTCTCTCAAGATCTATCCTCCTTTGGTGGATTAAACTTTTACTACTTCCCTTTAGCTCTGCTTCCACTTAAACAGATAAATGAAAAGGTATGCAGAGGGGGGGGGAAGGGAGGGAGGGAGAGGGAAAGGGAGAGGGAGAGAGAGAGAGAGAGAGAGAGAGAACGCATTAATGACGTCAAAGCCCTAAACATCTTGTTGATGTCCTAATTTGGTTCACGATCCAACATGTTACTTAGCAGACTATGAGTATCCATCCAATAGCTATAAGGAATGAAACCTCTTAATAAAGAGACAAAAGAGGTCAAAGTAAGTCCTGGAAGCTTTGGTTTCTTCAAGACCATGCCAAGCTAATGAGTAGCAAGGAGCAGGCTAAGGAACTATAAGAGACTGCAACTTTCCATTATATGCTGCTATCAATGCTCAGGATAAAACTAAATAGTCCAGTGCCCCAAAATACCAGCACTGGGTCAGAGGCCTATTAGAAATTTTAGACTGAGAATTCATTGTTTGGATTTTATATCTCAAGGCACAAAACATGATAAAAATACAGAAGGCTTTGAATGTCATCTGACAGTTCAGATAACAAGAAAAAGAATTACACATCACCTGACACTCACACTAATTTTTTTTTTCCTTACAAACTTTAAAGAATTTCTTCTTTTGTTGTTTTGTTTTTGTTTTTTGAGACAGGGTTTCTCTGTAGCCCTGGCTGTCCAGGCACTCCCTTTGTAGACCAAGCTGGCCTTGAACTCAAGAGATCCACCTGCCTCTGCCTCCCAAGTGCTGTGAAAGTATTTCTAGCAGGAAACAGTTTGCAGAAACAAACTCCTCATAAGTTGAACTCCTCATGAGAAGTTAAAAGTCGTAACTTTTATTATATGCACCATCAGTGAGGAGCAACGGTGGCTAAAGACAAAATGATTTTGTTTTGTTCTTGACTCATAAGGACTTTAATTCAGCTAACTATAAAAATGGTATTTACTATCTTATAACTAACTTTAGACTGATACGAAATGTGAAATAGTAACACATTTACTATAGATATGTAAATACATATACATACACATTCACACATTCTATGATACTATACATATGTAAACAGACACACACAATGGTTGTGATCTAAACTTTAGATATAATCCTATCTGGTGGGATGTCTCTTTCATCAGCATAGAGCCCATACGGGACTTCGTCTTCTTCATTGCTATTTCTCTGGTATCTCAGTACACAATTCATAGTCTACATATACCCGTGCAAATACATTCTATAATCCCCTTAAATGTCATAAGACATTATGAAGACTGCACACAATGCCAATACTCCTTACTAGTTGATTAATATCAATAATAGTTGATGGATAAATATTAACTACCACTCTTCATAAATACTTGCCACTTTCTGACTTTCAACATTCTAATTTTTAAAAAGCTGAAGAAAGGGTCAATGAATAGAAGAGTAACAAAAGTGAATACAGGATTGGAGAGATGGCTCAGTGATTAAGAGCAATGGCTGCTCTTCCAAAGGACCTGGGTTCAATTCCCAGCATCCACATGGCAGCTCACAACTGTTCCTTGTAACTCAAGTTACAGGGAATCCAACACCCTCTTCTGGCTTTTGCAGGCACCAGGCACAGACATGGTACACAGACATACATGCAGGCAAAAGACTCATACACATACAATAAAAAATTTAAAAAGGTGAATTCAACTCCTGCATAATAAAAAAGACAGTGAGACTCTGTCTCAACCTGTCACCACCCCCAAAGAGAAAGGAAAGACTTTCCACTTTTAACAGAAGGGACAGTAAGCAGCAGCCCATAAGACATGCTCTCAAGAACAGCAGTCTTGGGGCTGGTGAGATGGTTGAGAAGGTAAAGGCACTTGCTACCAACCAAGCCTGACCACTTGTGTCCAATTCAGAGACTTGTGTGGGGGAAGGAGAGAAGTAAGTCTACAAGTGGCTCTCTGACCTGCACAAGTGTGATGTGGCACTTGTGGACCCCTCTACACAAGGAAATGAAAAATAACACAAAACAAAACAGGTTGGAATCCTAAGCACTTACCTCAAGCTCATTCTCATCAAAAATGGCCAAAAGGTTCTCAGGAACCAACTCATTCAAGCCTAAAACAAAAGATTCCAAGTTAAAGCAACATCTGCAACTGCGACGCTGACATCTTAAGCACAAGGAGACAGGTCCCACCTTTTAGGAAATGCTCCACCTCCTCTTTCACTTGACTGGCCAGCCGATACTGGGCTAGCAAGTTTAAATAGAAGATTTTATTTGCATTGGTGACTGGGGTCTGAGCTCCACCTGTCATGAGTTCTACAATCTGAAACAGGAGGCAAAAGACAAGGAGAGGTTGAGGCTAGAAAACTATGAGATTATCAGCCTGTAATGTACTATGGACAGCGTAACTGGACTCCCTCAGTGTCCGTCCGCCTCAAGTTCCTAATCTGCATTTGGCTTTTTCACACACTTGCTTTTACCTTCTGCCAGCAGCCTTCAGGGCTTACTACACCACTACTTTCATACTCTTCCAGCTATTACTTCTAAAGAGGGTGTCAATCGAGGTCTCGCCTCATGCAGGGAGCAGTGGTGACACAACAGTAAGATAGTATGGTTTCTTGCTAGCAATATTTTAGTCTATCTCCTACAATTAAACCACTGATGACCTATTCTCAAAGTAGCTCTTTCATAGCTCTTTCTAAGACGGAAACAGTTGTTCCCACACATTCTTCTATCTCCCAAGTACACCAATGGAAAGAACAATGGCTTCACACTGGGAGATTTGGCATCCAAACTCCAGCCCTGATACTAACTTGCTACAGAATATCAGCCTATTAACTATTTATTCTTTAATTTGTCTCTCTGCAAAGAAAAGCTGAAAAAGCTTCCTGAGACACAAACAGAATTAGTAAACACACACACACACACACACACTAAACAACTGAGGGACATTTGAGGAAATCCCAAGCTGTTAAAACAATTACCCTGGAGATCCTGTATGCAGAAACCAGAGTTGTCTCCATAAATTAATGAATGCCTCCATATTTGCAAGATCAGATTTTAAGATCCTGATAACAACATTTTAATTGCATTGATGTGAACAATAAATCTCGGTAACATTTCTTAGGCCATAGCTAGAAATGCTTATTTCAGCAGTAATAGCCATAATTATAGAAAAAAAGTTCTACTGTCTATTGAGAATCCTGCTGGTGAACAACCTGCTGCTGTCCTTAGGGGCGAGGACTGTTCACTTGCTGCTTTGTTACACCAGCTCAAGAAGCTAGGTACAGACCTCACTAGGACAAACACAGAAAACTGGCTTTGCATTTTCAATATTGTTTAATTCTAGTTTTTGTTTTGTTTTTGAGACAGGGTCTCTCTATGTAGACCAGGCTGGCCTCAAACTCATATAGATCCGCCTGCCTCTGCCTCCCAAGTGCTGGGATTACAGGTGTGCACTACCATACCCAGCTGCCACATCTTTTCAGTCATTGCTACTTTCCTTTTAATTGCACATTGTTAACTAGTTTCACAGCGGTACTATCACACCCAGTGAAGTTTAATTATGTATCATTATTATGACCAGCTTCATTATTACCATCTGAGATTGCATACCTCCACAATGTAACAAATGCACATTTGCAACAAAAATATATCTGGCCAGTAATCTTAGCCCTCAGGAGGCCAAAAAAAAACAAACAAAAACCCCAATAAGAACAACGTTAAGGGTCTTAAAATGTACAAACATTGTGTTAAACTAAGAATCAGCCACCTACATCCCAACTGCTAATCAATGACACAATCATCCTCCCAAACTGGCCTGTGCACTGATACTTCTTTGTCACTGGGTTCTTTGTAGTCTTTCCTTCATTGCACAAATTCCTACTGGTACTGCTTTAGAGGGGCCAAGGGTGTAGGGGACCCATAAGTCCTGGTGTTCTTTATCACCTTATCCAGTTGACCTGATTTGTTATATTTTTCTTCTGCAAAGACCAGCTCCATCTCACTCATGTCATTGTTGAGGATAAAGCAAACTTTGGACTTGTAGAATTCTGGGTCATCTGTTTCAAAGTACTGAGGAGAAAGGAAGACACAGAACACATGAACACTCTTTTGCCATGAATGAAATTTTAACTGCTTGATACCACTTACATCTTCAGCCTTAAAAATAATCAGCTCGGAGGGCTGGAGAGATGGCTCGGTGGTTAAGAGCAGTTCTTCCAGAGGATCTGGGTTCGGTTCCGAGCACCCATATGGAGGCTCACAACCATGTTACTCCAGTCCCAGGGAATCAGACACCTTCTTCTGAATCTGTGGGCACCAGAGATGCTTCTGATGCATGTATATACACATAGGCAGAACACACATACAGAAAGAATAAAAATAAATAAATCTTATAAAAAAATAAATAAATAAAAGGGAAAAAAATCTTTAGAAAATCAGCTCATATGGGAAGATTCCAGAGCCAAGGGCCAGACTGTCTTAGTGGAAATGCAAACCTAAGCTGTTACCTTGTAATGCATACGAAGTCCTATGATTTGAGCCAGGAAGGACCGAGTGAAACGGGCACGGACCAATTGCTTGTAGGCTCCTCCTAGAGAGGATTCATACAAACACTTGCCCACCAGCCGTCCTGCAAATTCATACATCTTCAATCGCAGGTGAGCCGGACGGTTAGGGTTAGGATGCACCTGTCAAAGAAGGAAATGGAAAGGCCTTGAACCATTTTTCATCCATCCTAGTTTTGGAAAGCCCTTCCCTCCCAATGCAATGTACTACAATTTGGACCTGGAATGTCCCCCAAAGGTGCCCAGAGTGCCACTGGTAGGGCTCAGATTACTGGGGTAAGCCCTGGAAGAGAGCTGCCTGGTGTCCTTCTCTCCTCCTTTCACACCGCAGCCCTGAGGTGAATGATCTTGCCATACTCTGCCACTATGATGAGCTGCCTAGCCATAGACCCAAAGCAATGAGGTTGACCAGTCATGGACAAGAACCTCTAAAAATCTGCAGTGAAGCAATATTTTCTCTTTATATGCTTGGCTGTCTCAGCATTTATTACAGTAACGGAAAGCTGGCTTATACCCCATACATACCAAGGGAATAAAATTTCAGTTTAAGGATTACAGAGGAGACAGCTGAGTAATTTAAAGTGGCTGGAGGCTAACAGCTGCAGAAGAACCTGAGATTCATTTGTGGTCCCAGGGTGATTTGAGTACAAGTATGCCTGTCCCTAAACGAGAACTTTCAACCACAGTCAGGTGCTCTACTCCACCTCTCTAGTCAAAGATCTAACACAGAAACCAACTGCCTCAGGCTTTTTTCTCTAGAAAATAGTTTAATTATTTTAAGTGAGTAAAGTAGCCTTTACAATATAATGTTCTTATCAAAATGCTCAACTATCTATTTTCTTTCCTTCTTTTTTTTTTTTTTTTTTTTTTTTTTTTTTTTTTTTGCTATTTTACAGATGAAATAATGGAGCCAAATAAAAGGGAGGCAACTTGATTAGCTCATTACTAACAGCAAATTAGGAGCAAAACACAAGTTGTCAAGACTCCCAGGTCAGCTGTGTGAACCTCTGTGTTTCATTTTCCACCCACCCATGGGGAAGGCACAGACTCACTAGTGCTTGGTTGGTGTCACTGAACCGGGTGAAGAGCTGACTGGTGGTATCAAACAGTGCTTTGCAGATTAGCTCAAACCATTCCCGGCGAGGCCCTCCCCAATCCAAAGCTGAAAGGTATAATGAAAATTAAAAGTGATGCTGGCGTACACCACCTCCTGTTACTTTTCTTCCTTTAGCTATCACTTAACACTCTCACATCCCTTCTGTTCCACTACCTGTCCCTTCATTGCAACTCGCCTGTAGAGTGGACGTTTTCTGAAACCCCACTTCCTTCTGTAGAATTCAGGGTATTCTGATCACTAAACTAACAGAAACACAGGTCAGAGATCCCAGGAAATGGACACTTGAGGGTCTGCAGTGGTTATTTTGTCATTTTGGTGTGAAGTCTACAAGCTCACCCCCATGTCTCTGTTCTCCACACTCCACCACACCATGCAGCCAGGTTTCCTGACTCACAGAAGGTGGGTCTTTCAGGAGTTGAGGGGCTGGTTTGGGCTTTTTTGGAGAGCGTGGGAGTAGGAAAGAAAGTTAAAATGGTAAAATGAAACTTTAGAATCAACCTTCTTCATCCTGGAAAACCACTTCAAAGTTCTTGCTCCAATCTGAGATGGAAAAGTTCCTAGTGGCCTTCAAAGACTAAAACAGAGAGAGAGGAAGGAAGCTGTCAGAACACTGACTGGCATCCCCCAGCTGCTAAAGACCAACCCCCAAAAGCACCATCACTGCCCCCTGAGCCAACCACCATGTGCAGGTGATATATGGCACATAAGTAAGCCTTAGTGACATTATCTTATATTTAAATACACGAATCTCCAGGAGAAATTCAATATTGAAAAAAAAAAATCTAAGCATAAAAGCAAATCCCTATGATCCCAGCAAACATGAGGCTGAAGCAGGAGGCCTGCAAGTTCAAGGCCAGCCTGGTCTACACTGTGACAACTTCTCACTGGATAAAAAAAAACAAACAAACCAACAAAACATCTTATTTGAAATCAAATTTGGAATTTGATAATTAAAATTGCTTTCTTTTCTTTCTTCTTTTTTAAATAAACTTCATTTTATTAATGAAAAACCCCTTACAGAAAAGTTTTCATTAAAAAGATTCGAGTAAGGGGCTGGAGAGATGGCTCAAAGGTTAAGAGCACTGACTGTTCTTCCAGAGGTCCTGAGTTCAATTCCCAGCAACCACATGGTGGCTCACAACCTTCCATTATGAGATCTGGTGCCCTCTGATGGTGTGCAGATATACATGGAAGCAGAATGATGTATATATGACAAATAAAATCTTAAAAAAAAAAAAAAGTGATAAGCTGTAAACAAAAGAGCTAAGGAGTCTTGGTTCCGAGTAAAGTATAGACTAACCACTAGGTATCTTTATCCATCACAAGGCAAGGCCCACACAGGAAGCCATCCCACATGGAGTGTGGCTGAGAAAGGGGGTTTCCAAGCACATCCACCAGAGCCAAATATCACACATACTCTCTAGACAGGCGTCAAGCCTTCTCACTCTTAGAGAATGTCAGACCCATGTCAGTGTCTGTGTGCTGGAGACAAACACTCATCAGGTGTCCCATGTCTACCAGAGCATAGTGACAACAAGAACTACTTCCTTCTAATCCAGCAGAAGTTCCTACCCAGGGATGACTAACAGGCTGCTTCTCTAACCACTACTTCTACTCCTTACATTGTGACTGTCCAGGAACTACATCAGCACAGACCAGAAAGCTGATGTGTCATGAGTCTCCCCTCTGTGGCATGCTTCTAAAACAGTGGCCCAACCCAGTAAAATAAAAGTATGTATAATGAAAAGAACAAATAGTCTCCAATATGTTTAAAGGAGAAATTTATGTTTCATTAAAAGGATATAGCCAAATACTGAAGAGGCCCTTAGCTAGAGAACTTGCATATAAAGATGAAACTTGACTTACCGATTCCAACAAAGCGTGTCTGCTGACCTTCAGGGTGACTTTGGAATGAGGTCTCTTCATATGTACCTGCCGAAGCTCTCGTTGGAAAAAGTTCACCTTGTCTTGAAAGGTCTCAGATCCCCCTGAGGAGGAGCAAAGTTCATTACAACTTAGTATAGACATGCAGAGGACACCATTCTCCAGCTCTATGTCCACATGGTCCACTGCCTTACCGATGTTCTTGTGCAGGGAACGGATGAAAGTGGCAGCTAGGATGTTCCTTTCCTTGCAGCTGAGCTCCACAGGAGGCTGAATGCCATCATCTACCACCAGTGTGAGGAGCTTGTGAACAGGGTCAGGGCCAAGATATGAAAACTAACAAAGAAAATTTAGAAAGTGGTGAATTTCATCAATAAATCCCTTAATTCCAACAAAGCTTTTCACATGCCTACTCTGCCACACAAACAACAGAGACAAGGCAATACTGTTTTCTATAAGTAAGTACCTGATAGGAGTCTATCCTGTTATTTAGTGCGTATGTATGTATATATGTACGGTGTACGGCTGCCCGTGCCACAGCAGACACATGGAGTTTAGAGGACAGCTTGTGGGATTGTCCTCTTCTTCACCACATGGTCTGGAAAGGCACTCTGGTTATCAGGCCTGGCTGGCACTCTTAGCTGCTGAGCCATCTCACCAGCCCTATCTGGATGTGCTACAATTTATAGGTTTCTGTTTGTCTCTTTGCTGTTTTTAGTGTGTGTACCCATGCTGTGGAGGTGTGTAGTTTTCAGGAGTTGGTTCTGCCTTGCCAAACACTCCATGCTGCCTGGCCTTTGAGCGTAAGTGATTCTTCTGTCTGTGCCTCCATCTTGCCACACAAACACTGTGATCACGTGCACCACATTTGGGTTCTGGAGATCAACTAGGGTGGTGAGGTTTGGCTGACAGGTACTTTCACCTACTGAGTCATTTTGCTGGTCTCTTTTCAAATTCTCATTGAAATTATTTGAGTCATAGAAACTACCTTTAAGTAAAGATCCTGAGCAACACTGCAGACTTTCCAACATAAAGTTTAAGAAGGGAAATAGGAGTGACACCAACTACTATTCCAAAATGCCTGAAGAAAATGATCTTCATAAACTGCATATCCAAGCCTCTGGGGTAAAGCTTAGATTTAGGCCCAGAGCACTTAGAAAAAACAACTACAAAAACAAAATGGACAATTTTTTTTTAAATATATGAAAACATTCTTCTTATAGAATGAGCTCCAGCACCAGCAGCCGATACATGGGCACAGTAAGCCATGTCCTTTGAAAGTGCTGCTGAAGACAAAAGACACTGGCAAAGTATTGTGAACTGCTCCTGGTATCCACTAGTAAAGTGCCCAGTTCTACAGCACACTTCTCGTAGATTCATGGCATTCATGAGGGGTAACTTTTTCTTTGTTTGGAAATGAATCTGTGCACAAAGACAGAACATTCAAAAATAAGGAAGGCCCACAAAAGGAATGACCAACTACCCTGAAGTGGAGGCCTGCTCAGCATGAGACAGACCCGAAGGGTAACTCACCTTTGTCCCAGGGCACACTCGGAAGGTGTAGAGGCGCCAGGGGATGATTTTCAGGTAGAATTCCTTCACTGAGAATTGCTGGGGACCAACACAGAAAATGACATTGGTGATAAATAAGAGGGCCCTGTTTGGGTGTTGTAAGGCAAATACCAAAGTCTTGTCTATATTTTTCATAATAACAAGAGGATAATTTAGTCAATACTAACATAAATCTATCTGTGGAAGGCAAACTAAAACCTGACACTTCAATTTCACAGACATGTATCACGATCTCAATGCTTGGCCTCTTATTTGGGATGCCTGGAAATTAGCTCTTCACTTTATGAGTACAGAACATGTCACCTTGGAACAATGAGGACCCTCCGCCTTGTCTGCTGCTACACGGTGACTCCCCAAGCCTGCATTGGTTTGTTGTGGTTTGGTTTGAGAGGGGTTTTACTCCCTAGCCCAGACTATGCTGGGACTCACGAGGCAGCCCAGGCTGTCCTTGATGTCACAGTAATCTTGTTTCAGCTTCCTGAATGCTGAGATTATAGATGTGAGCCGCGATACCTGGCACTTTCTTCCTATCTGGATGGTACTAAGGACTTGGCACAGATGGGGAGACAGGAAGGACTGGAGAGAAACAGCGGGGAATCTCACACAAAAGTCCATCTAATTATGAGGACAAGGGAGGCTCTTCTTATGCCAATTATAAAAGAAGAAAAGATAATGCAAGATTTGTTTGTTTTTTTAGTCTGTTATATGAATATATGTCATCTGTTTTTCCTTTTTTCAGTGCTTGGGACTACCCCTCACATGCTATAGGCATATAGGCATATCGACCACTGAACTATGCCCCAGCCCCTTCATTTCCCCCATGACTTAAAGACCAATCCTCATTAAAGAAAACTCCCAACCACACTAAGAAGAGGAGACACTTCTCGGATTTTAACAATGACTGATTCAGTGCCGATGCTCTGCAGTTTCTTACCCCATTCAATCACCTCATTGCCACTCTCTACTACACACGAAAGGTAGATGTGTAAATAAAGATGGCATACAGAAGCACATTAGAAAGCACAAGAGAATTTGGACCCAGCTTTGATTATGAGATTAAAGGATGTAATAGGATGTTCCAACAGTCTCGTTCTTGTGAGGACTGGATGAAGAAGAAAACACAGTTAAAGGAGCGCCACCTACAAGGCGCCCTGAGCTCCAGGGCTTAGGAAGTTCACCTTCCTGTCTCTGCCAAGCTCTTTCTTACAGTCCTGAAGCCTGGTGGTGGCAAACATTTAACATGGTTTCACATTATCACAGAATGAAAGGTCAAATTGTTTCAATACAGCACAAGGGGCCAATAGTGATTTTTATCTTAGTGAGGACTTCTTAATGGTCAAAAGTAGCCTTCTCCACAATCCTGAAAGCTCCACCTTGGACAATCTTCCCCAGAGTACTGACAGGGTAGAATGTTCATATACTCAATAATGCCAAGAGACACAAGCAGGCTCTGGTGATCTGTCCTTGTACAAAGCAAATTCCTGCAGCAGTAAACAGATACAATTTTCTGTTAAATGTTAGGAAGCTTCTCTTAGTGTCTCAGAAACCCTACAAGGAGATGACTCTGCCCTACTGATGCTCAGACTGCCACTTTACGGAGTCTGTTACTAAATGCTAGACATATACAGACTCAGGTGAGGGATTTTAAGGCAAGAATAGGAGCACCAACCTTTGGTGACACATAGCAGTACACCTTCTTGGGCTTCTTCACCTTCTCAGGGGTATGGCACTCTGAGGGTGAGTCTTCATCGTCCTCCTCAATGGCGGTGGAGGGCCGGCGCTGAGAGGAGCTCGTGTGCATAGGAGGGAGGTGCCATGGTGTGCTTGTGTAGTTGTTGGGACTGTAAAGGTAAGCCTCAAAGTAGATGCTCACTCCTGAGGTGGACACATTGCGTTCAACAATGCTCTTCTCGTTCTCTGAAGGGCAAAGAATAACTAACATTTGAAACAGGAACCGAGAGGACAAACTAACCTACTGATGGTTAGTGTACCATAGGGTAGTGAGGGAAATATGGCTCAAATAACAAATGTTTGTGGGGTGGGTTGGTGGGGGATGTCCTTCTGTATATACGTTTCTCTTATTGGTTGCTGAATAAAACACTGAATGGCCAGTAGCCAGGCTGGAAGTATAGGTGGGGCTATCAGACTAGGAGAATTCTGGGGAGAGGTGGCAGAGAGAAGCCACAAGAGAGGATGCCATGTAGCGGCCAAAAGGAGTAACATGCTGGACCATTACAGGTAAGCCACGGCCTCATGGCAATACATAGTTTAATAGAAATGGGTTAATAATTAAGAGAGAGCTAGCTAGTAAGAAGTCTAAGCCACTGGCCAAACAGTTTATAAGTAATACAAGTTTCTGTGTGTTTATTTGGGGCAAAGCGGCTGTGGGACCAGGTAGGACAGAACCTCCGTCCACAGTGGATTGGAGAACAGAAGAAAAGGCTGGGGAATGACGAACTCACAGCTTTTAACTCACCACTGAGGACAATAATGTCAAATTCGCCATTATTGATGGGTTGGTTCTGGTATGAGATGCAGGCATGGAAGCAACCTCGAGAATGGAGGGTGAGCCGCAGGAACACCTGGCATGTCTGCCTGTTGGATGTCACCGACTTCTCAAAGGAGACTTCATTATTCTCTTCTTCTTGTGCACCAAGCTACAAGAAACAAAGCGTGAGTGCACATGCTTCACAAGGAGCTCTCCCATGGCTTCTTTGACCTAAGCCTCACACTTCCTACACGGACGGGCACTACCAGATAAAGACAAGATGGACGGCTCAGAAGTCAAGGGGAAGACAAGAGCTGAGGAGAACAGAGGAGAGACTCTGGCTTTCTTGCACATGGAAAAGAGAAGAAGGCACTTACCTCATGAATGGACAAGCTGTAGTTCTGCTCATCTCTCAGGGACATGGAATTGTTGGTTGGGTTGTCATACTCATCTCGGGGCACTATTTGCAGGGTGTGTGGCTGACCACAGGTCAACACAAGAGTAGAAAAATGGCACACAATTTTGGTCTTGGAAGGAACCACCATTCCTGAAACAGACAATGAAAGAGAATGAAGACCAGAAAGAAAACAGACTCACAGACTCACAGAAACAAATGTTGGGGATTTGTTTTCTGTCGTTGCTTCTGGGAGTGTTTTTATTTTTCTTGTTATTTTTAACCACTTTCTGCACCAAACAAAATGAGAAAAGAATCTGAAGGAGACAGAACTAAAACCACAAATACAGTGCTACAACTTCCCAGAGAGCCTCTGAGGTGGGGCCTCAAAGTGATCGATGAAACCAAGTATGGTGACACACCCTTTAACCCCAGCACTCAGGAGGCAGTTCTGTGAGATCAAGGCCAGCCTGGTCTACAGAGGGAGTTCCACAACAGCCAGGGCTACACAGAAAGATGTTGCCTCAAAACAGTGCCAAGGGCTAGTGAGACAGCTTAGCAGGTAAAAGTGCACGTTGTGGAGCGTGGGGACCTAAGTTTGATCCCAGAGCACACGCAAAAGTGGAAGGAGAGGAAAAGGTGTCCTCTGATCTCTATGCACAGACCTCGAATTCCAATGTGCCCACACTCATACACACACACAAATAAAAAATAAGCACCGAATAATGGCAAAACCAAAACTATAGGGCATGAACCAATGGCAAAACCAATGTTACAGTACAGAAATCCAGACTGCCACACATGTACCCAGATGATTTTTGACAAAGGTGTCAAAGTCCTATCCACGAAGAAAAGACAACCCTCTTATCACATGGTCCTTGGGCTATCAGAGAGCTTCAAGAAGATAGATAGATAGATAGATAGATAGATAGATAGATAGATAGATAGATAGACAGACAGACAGACAGACAGACAGACAGACCGACCGACCTCAACATAAATCTCACATACAAAAACTAGCTAAAAATGGAGCATGGCTTTAACATAAAAAGTGAAATGATAAAAAACTTTTAGAAAAAAAAAGCAATGAAGAAAAATCTTTAGGATCTGGAATTAGGCCAGGCGTTGGTGGCGCACACCTTTAATCCCAGCACTCGGGAGGCAGAGGCAGGCGGATCTCTGTGAGTTCGAGGCCAGCCTGGTCTCCAGAGCGAGTGCCAGGATAGGCTCCAAAGCTACACAGAGAAACCCTGTCTTGAAAAACAAAACAAAACAAAACAAAACAGATCTCGAATTAGCCAGAGATCTTAGACATCAAAAGCATGATCATAAAAGGAAAGAAAAAAGATAGAAGTGAAATTTATCAATATAAAAAATGTTTTTATACTATGGGAGATCCTATTAGGAGGAAAAGAAAGCCAGATTTTAAATATTTGACAAGGGACTAGAGCATAGAATTTACCTTAAAAGGCTCTCAAACACAACAGTGAAAAACCAAAAATTTCTAATTAAAAAATATACAAACATCATGAAAAGATTATTTCACCAAAGAAGATATATAGTTTTCAAATGAACACATGAAATATGTTTATCAGCACTAACCACTTGGGAAATCCAAATTAAATACACGTTTATCAGAATGGCTAAAAAATAGTAGAAAGAGTCTCTGAGGGAGGCATTCAGGGAAAGGAGGCTGCCCAATGCAGAGACGGCTTGTTCAGTCTTCCTTTGCTCTAGACAAAGAGAACTGGGAACCAATCAAATAATCTTCCTAAGACTCCAGCCATTAGGATGTGACTTCCAAAGTCAGCCAAGGTCCTGTTATTTTTATGGATACCAAACTAGCCAAAATCTAATGACATCTTCAAAAAAATGCCAGGAGGGTGTAAAGTACAAGTAGGACTCCAACACACTCAACACTGATGTTGTAGAACCAAGAGTCAAGAGTCAGAAATTACAGCCTGGACCTCAATGTCAGTGGGCATTTGTTATCTGGCATAAAGCATGAAGGAGAGAAGGCCTAGATAAAAGCAGATGCTCTTCAGTGTGTAGTAAAATACATATTGACAGTACCAGTGGATTTGGACTAAGGTGCTTTTACTTGAAAAGATATTTTTAAAAAATCAGAAAAATGTATCTTTCTATTCTGGTATCTTTGGCCTGCAGAGCTCATCAGATTGATTACTCAGCAATTCTATTCCTAGAGAAATAAAAACACATGCCCACGCAGAGACCCATATGCAGATGCCAAAAAGACTTCGAGGCCATCACTGTTTTTCTTACTTGAAAAGAAAACATTGCCTCGAAGCCTGCTGGCCTGAGTGTGAGCCCCAGAGCTCATGTGACAGAGGAAAGAGCTGACACTACAAGTTGTCCCCTGCCTCCACATGCATACAGTGGCCTATATATGTTCCCCCACACAGTAAGTGGATGAATGGACAGACAGACAGACAGACAGATAGATTAGATAGGCAGGTAGGTAGATTAGATAGATAGGCAGGTAGGTAGATGACAGATAGACAGGAACCTGTATGAAAATGTTCACAGTAGTGTTACTCTTGTTAGTCAAGTAATAGAATGGGAAGAAACAACCCAGATGCTCACAACTTACAAAAAGAAACAATACATGGCACATTACTTGTCAAGTAAAAGAAATGAAGAACTAAACATGAAATAGCATGGATGAACCTGAAAGCTTTACATTAGGTCAGACAAGTAAAAAAAAGGCCTCCTATTTTATGATTATGCTGATAGAAAAGTCCAGAAAAGGCAACTCCATAGCAATAGACTAGGGGCTGTAGTTGGGAGTTTGAGGTTTCTTGGTGCCATAATGAAAATCTTCTAAAACTGAATGTAGTGATACCTGCTTAGCAATAAATTTTACAGTCCATTACATTTTAAATTGATGAATTTTGTGGCATGTGAACAAAAATCTCAATATAAGTGTTATTTTTTAAAGGAAGAACTGGAGTCCTGTTGGGTAGCAGAGCACATGCTTGGCATGGAGTCCCAGATCCCACCACACCCTACCAGAAAAGAGAAGAAAGTAAAGGGAGAAACAAAGAATGAACCAAGAACCTACCAGGCTGAAAAATCTTGTAGTAGGGACTATAGGCCACATTTAATCCACCGAGCTTCACGGTAATCTCATAACGCCCAGCCTTGCGCACAGTAAAGGCCACCTTTACCACGTTGGAATTTGGCTCTTGGAGGACTTCCTGGGTCACTGGAATTTCCACTGCTAGTTCGACATGAGAGATGTGAACTCGCAGTCCCACAGGCCGATGTGCAGGGAAAGGCTGTCCATTCTTATAGAACAACTGCAATGGGAGGAGACGGGTGGGCACCCATCAGTCAAAGTGAGGGAGAGAAGCACTTCCCACGTGATGAGAGCACGGGGCAGAGGAAGCAGCTGGCCAAGGTCACACTGGTAAACCACAGTGCCTACCTATTCCTTTCAGTTTTGCTCTTCACATAGTGAAGAGGATAATTCTCACACACACAACAAAGAAAACCATTAAATCATGGACAAGTTCTTTGCCTGTTCGGAGCACAGGGCAGCATACACCACTGAGTTAAGAACACACCAATTTCAACTCGAGGTTTCTGAACAACAAATGCTGCCTCCTCAGTGTTCCCAGCACTGTTATACAACCAATGTAAGGCAGTTAGCCAGCAGCACAGCATCTAGCATTGGCACTGAGGGGAAGGAAGCACCAGGCGAAGGTTGAGGGGTTCAGGCTCACACACCAAATTCAAAGCTACCAGGTAGAGAAGGTGCAGTATGGGTTATAAAGTTTCTTTGTAAAATGCCAAAAAGTAAATGTTTATAGCTTTGTTGACCATATACAACTATCCTGAGTATGCAAATGAGAAAGCAATTGAAGGATAAATGAATACGGCTGTGTTCCAATTAAAAGGCATTTACAATGCCTGACAGTCAGAGCAGTGCACACCATTAATCTCAGAATTTGGGAGGCAGAGGCAGGCAGATCTCTGTAAGTTTGAAGCCTGCTTGACCCACAGAGAGAGTTCTAGGACAGCCAGAGCTACACAGTGAGACTCTGTCTCAAAAAACAACAATGGCAAAGAACAAGGGGAGAAAGCAGGGAGGAGCAGGAGGTGGCATTCACAGAACAGAGTGGGACTTGCTTGGGTTTTCAGGATAGGGTTGCTAATTCCTGATCTACAATCCCTCCTCCCACATTTCCTTCTTCCCTTCTCTTTCTTGTCCCCTCGCCCACCTCATTTTGAGACAAGCTCACACATAGCCCTAGAACTACATAGACTAGGCTGGCCTGGAACTCACAGACATCTGCCTGCCTCTGCTTTCTAAATGCTGGAATTAAAGTTGTTGGTTTTTGGGCTTTTTATTTTTTGAGCCAGAGTCCCATACAGCTTAGGATGGCTTTGAAATCCCTATGTAGACAAGTATGACTTTGAACTTGATCCTCAGCCATTAGCCTCCCATGTACTGGCATCACTGTAGTGCAAATCCAGCCAGCCTCAATACTGCTTTTCTTATTTGAAAAACTAACATTGGGCTTTCCATTTCATCAAAGCTATGTACCCAGTAAACCAAAAGGATAGGAAAATTTAAGGCTCTTCAGATATTAACAATTCCCAAGTTCCTGGGAGGGACTGAAAATCAAGGGAAAATATTAATATCCAGCCTACACCACCCATACAGCACTGGGCTCTGGAAAGCAAATGACTCGGAAACCATGATGGGTACGGAGACAGAAACATTCCCTTACATGCACTCGGAAGGCCATGCTGTGGCCCACCTCATAGGGGTCCTTCCAATCCCAGGACACTTTGCAGGACCGGGGATCCAGATAATTTCCCCGCACGTAGTCATAAATAGTCCGGTCCCCTCGGCGCTCACGGTCTTCATTCTGAAGAAAGCTGACTACACGTGCGGCAAGCTCAAAGAGGAACTTAATTGTGAAGAAGAATGCAACCACAGACACTGTGATTCCACCTATGTAACAGAGAAACATACTGGTCAGCTCACAAAGCTTAAGGAAGTCAAGATGAGTCTGCAAGACTGTAGAAACAAAGGAGACCGGGGAAAGAGAGAAATTTCTAGACCAGGAGTAGGTAACAACAGTACTCAGGGCAAATCCCGCACACTGCCAGTTTTCTGTAAACACAAAGTTATGCTGGAATATTGCCTCACCCTGTCCTAACAAACTGTGGCTGCTTGTGCACCACCCAGGCAGAGCTGAGTAACTGGAAGAATACTGTATGTTTCTCAAAATGGGAACATATTTGCTCTCCTGCCTTTTACAAAAAGCCTGCTGACCCCATTCTATACAATGCCCCCTCCACCTTTCTGCCTGTGCTGCCCTCACAGCAGCAGTCAAAACAATGTGCTTTTTGGTTCTTTCTATTCAGAAGCCTTTTATTCTCTTGTCCACTTGGCAAAAGCCTTCCACAAGCCCCATCAGTTAGAGGTTCCTTCGCTTGGGCCCCTCAAACTCTGTATCTATTAACTTCCTCCTACTCGCCCACCTCCCTCTTCATGGTGTGAACTCCTTACAGGCAGGTTTTGCCTTGATTTGGGCTTTACAGTAAACACTGTCTGGCACAGACTGTAATTACTCAACAAATATTTCCCAAATGAATGAACTTCTCTGCCAACTGTGTGAAGGTACATTTCACACAAGTGAAAATATTTCTCCATTTTCAAGGAAGAGGAGGAGACAGATAAGTAAGCAAATAGGAACTAGACAACAATAACCAAAAGACAAGAAAAAGAACTTTCTATCACATACCAATAACGTAAAACATCAGGTCTCTTCAACGCCAACAGACAGCCGAGGTTCACAGCTGCAACTGCAAAAGAAAATCTATTCAGTGTCTCTCCAACTCTCTTAAAGCCACCTCAGAGGCAGGAGAGAAAGTAGAGCACATGGCTTAAGCCAACCAGCTCTAGTCTAGTGCCTCACCATCCCTGTTCTCTCTGCCAAAAGCTTGATAGGGGCCCATGCCATGTGTCAGACAAATAAAAGCAAGGTCATAGCACTTCCCACAAAGGTTAGAATCTAGCAGCCACTCTTGGAACACCACAAATAGCCTCTTGCTTTAGCTAATTACAAAATGAAATCAGACAGCTTTCATTTTCTCAGACTCTGGGTTCCCAAGACAATTTCCTTCTTCCATGCAAAGTGGTGCTAATTAATGCAAGAAAGAAGACAATGGAATGCTTTCCTCAAATGTTATTCGCCCTCTGAAATTAATCCAAATAAGTAGAAACAACTAGATAAATTGAAGTTTTTGTTTGTTTTGTTTTTTTTTAACAAGTAAACATTATCAACCAGCACTTACTACTTAGTGACAAGAAATATAAAGGTTTCTAGACTCAGATCTTGGAAGCCACAAAATAACTTCTAAAAGGGGAAAGGAAAACAAACACCTGTGTGCTTTTATATCTGATTGTGCTTCATGTTTTTGAGAGAGAGAGAGAGAGAGAGAGAGAGAGAGAGAGAGAGGTGACTCAAGCGCTTGGGAGGCAGAGATGGGATGACTGCCAACAGTTCAAGACTCTGTCTCAAAATCAAAACCTAAGATGCTAGGCATGCATAAGATGCTACACATGCATTAGGCTTGAAGCTTGATCCACCAGAACCCCTCCCTGTTAAATAGGTGTGGCAGAAGCAGCGTGAGAGGATTCCTGGAGCTTGTTGGCCAGTCAGTAGAGCAAAATCAAACTCCAAGAATCAGTTAGAGATGCTGCCTCAAAAACTGAAGAACTACTGAGAAAGACACCCAATGTCAACTTCTAGCCACACCTGCTTGCATGTGCAAGGGCACCTTCATACATATGTATAGACACACCAAACATGTATACATATAAATAATGGAGGCAGAAAATGCCCCCTCCCAATTCTGCTGTTAATAATATATTAGATGGAACTCACAGAGTGGGTAACTTAAGGAAAGGCCATCTCAACTTTCACAGGAATCCCTATAGACCAGGGTCGAACATGCAGCTAGACTGGAATGGTCAGCACGTGCAATCTTGGGTATTCCCAGAAGATCTACTACAGAGACAACATATGGACTCAAAGCTTGAGACCACAATCACTGAGCCTCCTTCCAGACAGTAGCTCATCTCTGGGAACACTATGTAGAAAAGCTGCCAGCATATCACTTACAATCATCTCTGTACCTTTCAGGCTATACTAGATGGTTCCATGGCATCAAACTGGGAGTTTAGGGGGTCTAAGTTACTTCTAAACTGGCAGCCACCCAATATGAAGCTGGACATCCAGCCCTTGGGGAAGCTATGACATCTGACAAAAGTGAAACGCATGTAGCTGAGGACAGACTTGTCATCTCAAGCCTCTTGATCCTTGGATGCAAGGCAGGAAAACTTACCCACCTCTGACAGCTACAAGCTTCCCTCTGTGAAGCAGCTGGCAAACAGTAAGCCAGTATCTGAAGGTAGGACCCAAGCTATAACTAACTGTACCACCTCTGTGAGTGTCACAATTTTTGCTGCTGTAACAAGAGTTAGTATTTTCTGGGTCAACCCCTTTAGCATGACTTTGGTATAACTCCCCATAGCAATGACAGCTTGAAAACCAGAGAGCCTAACAAACAGTCAAATAGACAGGAACAAGGCAGGTGCCTTGATCCTTGAGCTAAGAGTCATAGGTTCAAATTGTGACTCTGGCCAAGCCATCTCATCTCTCTACCAAGTGCCAGTTCTCTTCTCTGTCAAATTGGGAGAATACTCACATGTACATTTGCCATGAGAATTTAGTGAGCTAACACGTTAGGCTAGCACTATACCCCGAAAACAGTGAGTTTTCAGTCTTCATGGTGCTTATCTCTAGAACAAGCATCACAACTCCTTTGTTTCAGAGCTGACAGGAACTTCAGGGAACCTCTACTGACCCCAACACTCTTCAAGGAGAAATGTATTAACAATTACAAAGGACATGGTTTCTCATTGAACCAATAAATCTAACCCTTCAAGAGAGGTCCTCACTCTTCTAATGTGGATGACTGAAATCTTTATAAGAAGTTAAAAACTCATTAAAGCAAGCCAGCCAACAAATACTGAGTGTTTAATGTGTCAGGTACTGGAGAACAGCACAAAACTTAACATCCACTCTTGACACCACCAATAACCACCTTTGCCTTTCTGAGCCCTCAGTCATTATTTCTCCCTATTTGTTTATTTCTCAAATTATTAGTATTGGCTTTTACATCACCTGGACCTTTTCCAGTAAGTCATTTCTTCATCTCTACCACAATCCTCTTCACAACTTACAACCCAGTACCAATGACTACTTCTTCCCAAATGACTCTCCTCCTCTTAGAACATATGAGTAAGACGACAGCTTTGTCATTTCCTCACCCTAAAGGCTGACCTTTAGAAAACATCCCCTGTTCTAACATCACAGCTCAAAACCTTCCCTAAAATACTTAGCCTTCTCCAAGTTTTCTCCAAGGTCACATTCTGAACTTGCAATCTTCTACATCCCTTTCTTGTTTTTAACGACGTCACACAGCCTCCTTGACTGTCAGGGATTCTCTCTGTCCTGTCTGTCCTGCTATCGTACCTGACACCCTACACTGCTGTCCTTAATCACACCTCATACACTATTCATTTCCCCTCACTATCCATCCTCTGTTACCCAGATCAGATCCTTCACACTTGCACATACACACCTGAAATGTCCTGTCTCCATGACTTTTCAAGAGCCACCTCCTGGTATAGTAAACTTGGTCAAAAACCTATGACTGAGAGCACAGACCCCAAAAGAGAAACTACTGCATTGTTAAGCTAAATGGACAAACTGTGTCTGTTAAATTGCCTTCTAAAGAACTATGTTTATATTCACAGGTTACTGCTGTTGTCACCTGTGCTTACTAGAGAACAGGGGAAACTGTAGACTCATAGCCAATGACTACTTCTTGATAAGAACAGAGACTTAAATGTTCAACAATAAATGGGACATCTGTATCACCCTATTCAAGGCTCATGAAGCACTGCAGAGAGAAGGCCAAAGATGGAGACAAGTGGTGGGATGCAGTCTTCCAGACGTGACTTGGCCACTGACTGCACTTTTGAACCCACAGGAGCTATGATTACCATACAAGATCTGCATAAGAAGGAGCCTGATGAAACCCTATCATGGAGAAGGGATGAACTCATGAGGTCCCACCTCTTCCTGAGGATTTATAGGTAGTTAACACATAATATTTCAGGAGATACTTTTTTCAGTGACAGAGCCACTGGTAAAGTACCCATGTTCCTGCAAATATAATCAAAATGTTATTATATACACATACATAATTAATATATGCCAATAAAATTTCTTTAAAGTCATGTCCACTGTCCATACATCCTCCCATTTTCTGTTTTCATCTATGGACTATCTCCTGATCTAGGAAAAATCCTATCCCCTTACTCCCTAAAATTTCTAATTTTCAATTTACAAATTCTACCTACCTCTGAATTTGTACTTAGCTTTTAAAAATTTGTTTTCTGGCATTTTAATTTCAAAGTATCTAATATGTGACAAAAATTATTATTATTATTATTATTATTATTATTATTATTATTATTATTATTATCATTATCATTATTATTATTATGAGACAGGTTTCTCTGTGTAACTGCTCCGTCTGTCCTGGAACTCAGTGGCCTCAAACTCACAGAGATCCACCTGCTTCTGCCTCCTAAGTTCTGGGATTAAAGGTGTGTGCCACCACACTCAGCCCCAGTACAGTTTTTTTTGTTTTGTTTTGGTTTGGTTTGGTTTGGTTTTTCGAGACAGGGTTTCTCTGTGGCTTTGGAGGCTGTCCTGGAACTAGCTCTTGTAGACCAGGCTGGTCTCGAACTCAGAGATCCACCTACTTCTGCTTCCCGAGTGCTGGGATTTAAGGTGTACGCCACCAATGCCCGGCCCCAATACAGTTTCAAAACATCTATTTAATTACCAATATATTCACTTGAACCAATATATTCATTTAAGCTCTTTTAGATACCAAATTACTAATTTAATTCAGTTCAGTAAGTATATCACATGTTCACGAGCAGGGCCATGGGTTCTCTCTCATACATGCTACTTTTGTACAACAGTCTGTATCTACAGCTCCCTCTCTATGCAAACTACACTGGAACCTTCCCAATGTAACAAGCACAAAGCAATGTGGTAAGCATGCCATTCAGCAAAACTTACTTCCCTGAGTTAGCTGACATTCCTCTCTCTTGCCCTTATAAGGTCTCATGAACTACGACACTCTAAGCTCAGGGAGTAACATGAGCATTGATAAACTCTTAATCACAGGTATGTACAGCCTGTAGCTTGTGGGCCACAGCTTCCCAGAAAACTCTGAATTTGGCCCAGCACAAAACCTTTAATCTACTTAAGCATTATGAGATTTTTCCTTACTGGTAACTCAACTGCACAGTTCTAGAGTATGACCTTTGTAGGTGAACAGGTTGTATCACAATATCGAAAGGTTGGACTTTTCCCAGTGAATGAGGGCTTCCCAGCACTAAGTACTCAGGCTAGTCACTATCCAGTGGGCTTTACATATCTTATTCTAAGTACCCTAACTATGATCACAAGATAAACATTATTATTTCACAGGTAAAGCAAACAAACAAACAAACAAAAAACAACCCAAAAAACTGAGTTTAAAAAAGTAAACTTACAGCTGGGCAGTGGTGGTGCATGCCTTTAAAACCAGCACTTAGGAGGCAGAGGCAAGCTGATCTCTGTGAGTTCAAGGCCAGGCTGGTCTACAGAGTGAGTTCCAGGACAGCCAAGGCTACACAGAGAAACTGTCTCAAAAAAAAAAAAAAAAAAAAAAAAAAGAAAGAAAAAGGAAGGAAGGAAGGAAAGCAAACTTGCTGAGACTCTCCCACAATGATTTAAGTAACAGGTCCACATCTAACTGAATTCCCCAACTTTGAACCTGTAATGCTGAATCATAAAATAGAATGAAGCTACAGAAAGAGCCAAGTAGTTGGGGAAAAAAGATTTAAGAATACAAATAAATATTAAAATAGAAAAAAGTCCCCCAATCTAACTGTAAAGAATCTCACAGCAAAGCTAAAATTACAAACTCCTACAGCTTTTTTGTTATCTTTTGAAGTAAAAATAACGCATGGCAACCAAAAGAGGAATGCAGTGCCAGTTATCTAGTGTAGAAACATCACATGCTGACTGCAGGGTCCATGCTGACTGCCAGAGCACTTTCAGCTCACACGAAAGGGAGGAAATGCTCAAACAAATGCTGACATACATATTCTAAAATTTGCAATAGCTAATAAATTTTAGCTCCACCATTGAAGATCAGTTGTAAAAGTGTCATTTTTCAAAAATAAAGAATTAGTTCCTTTCTATTAAAAATTGCTCTGGCAGAGTCAGTCAAATCACACTGGCACCCCTGCACCCCTGCATCCCTGCATCTCTGAGGATCTGGCCACTAGTCCATGTTTCACATCCCAGTAGCTGAGTCTCAGCATGATCCATTACCTCAGTGTTGAGACCAGGTTGTGTCCTGTCCTGTTATTCCATGTTGTATAAAAGTGATTTTCCAGGGCTAGAGAGATGACTCAGCAGTTAAGAGCACTGGCTGCCCTTCCAGAGGACCCGGGTTCAATTCCCAGCATCCACATGGCAGTTCAGAAATGTCTGTAAATTCAGGTCCAGGGAACCTGACACCTTTATACAAATGTACATAAAATAAAGTTAAATAATTTTTTTTAAAGAGGTTTTCCAGAGGGCAGTGGTGTCTCATGCCTTCTTTTCTAGCACTTGGGAGGCAGACACAGGTGGATCTCTTTGAGTTTGAGGCCATCTGATCTACAAACCAACACAGAGAAATCCTGTCTCAAAAAAAAGAAAAAAAGAAAAAAGAAAAAGAAAAGTGATTTTCCAGTCTATAGCCTGCCTAAGAAACTCTCTAGTTAACTCCATTTTGAGGGTGGAAGACAACTGTACCTTGATGGGCATGTAAACGACAGTCTGTTCAACACCACCCACAAGTACAGTCCAATATATAACTTATTCCTCAAAGTAGAAAGGGTGTTGCCCTATAAGTTTATCAAAGTAAAATAGATTTGATTCTTATTAAGAAACACAGGAGTTTATAAGGCACACCAGGAAAGGCACTGAGGAAAGGGTACAACTCTCTAACCTGAACTTCATAAAGAGGAAGATGCCTAACTCTGTAACCTGTTATCTGACTACCCTCTGTGTGTGTGTGTGTGTGTGTGTGTGTGTGTGTGTGTGTGTGTGTGTGTGCACTGAAGCTTTACTAGACCCTGAGGTCAGCTTGGCTCTGGTTCTGCAGCCTGACTTTATGGTGGCAGCAGTTGCAGCAGTGTCCAGCTTGTTCACATTTTATTCCTTTAGAGACTCTTCATTCCTATCAGCTTCCCAGGTTCTTTCTCCCAGGCCTCTTGAAAACACTCTGAGTCTCTTCAGCCTTTTTTAACCCTTTTATAACCTACAACTGAATGGAAAAAGTGTATGTGTGTCTCAGGAGAGAGAGTTTACTCCATGATGGGTAATGTACGATTCAAGAGTTAATATTAGTAATTAAGACTGGAGTAAGAGAACATGCATTTGTCTTGGCCAGCTATCAGGAAAGAGGGACTACTTGGCAAATTGCTGCCAATAAAACAAACCACTGTGCAGTGTGAACCTACTGTTCTCCAGTCAACTGACATTGTAGAAAGGTACTTGCCTATGTTACTGACACAGTGAACTTAATATAATAATACTTACCTTTAAACGAGGGCCCATGTTCTAAGAAGCAAGTTATTCACCAAAGCAGCTCACTTGTCCTCTAACTTACACATGGAAAAAAAAAAAAAAAAAAAAAAAAAAAAAAAACAAAAAAACCAAAAAAAAAAAAAAAAAAAAAAAAAAAAAAAAAAAAAAAAAGCCAAAAAGTCACCAGAAAGGACCTGTCCAGCAGATATTCATTGAGGTTATGTGTGTCCCAGTAAGCAAAGAGTCAGGGTTTGTGCACTGAAGCGGTTGAATTCTGAGGTGAATAAATACAACCCAAGAATATATCATCCCTGGACTTCTCTCGTGTAAGATGAAACCAACCACAAAAGATGCATTTGTTCTGGTGTACCAGGGTCCTCCTATAAAGAAAAAAGAGTAAGTGCAGTAAGTTTTTGTTTCTGAAAGAGATTCTACAACCTTCCCCGTTACCCCCTCCCCCTCCAAAAAAAGCAACCTAGCAACAGAGGAGCTACAACATGCAGTTAGTATACTAAAAGTAACTGAGTGTTAGTAAATTCTGACCAAGCTTCCCAACAGAACGTCCATACATAGTGCTAAAACAACTCTAACTCCACAAGGGCAGTCACTGCCTACAAGCATGTCACTCCCCAGAATCTCCAGCACTTCAAATGCTCCTCTTTCAGCAGAGGTAAGCTAGGGGCAGATTTAAAGGGACTCATCACAGCCTCATGTGGAGCTGCAGCCTAATGGGGCTGGGTCACCGCATGGGAAGCATGGGGGGGAGAACTGGGATGAAAGCACAGCAGAGGCTCACCAAGGACTCAATACTCAGTTGGAAAGCAGCAGCAGCGGCAAAGCTTTAGGACCTAAGCTATCTATCTGCCTATGCAGGCTGCCTCCTCTGCATCTGTGCACATAGTTCTAAGACATGGGAGAAGATTACATTATCAGGGCTGGAGAGATGGCTCAATAGTTAAAGGCACTGACCACTCTGGCTGCTCTTCCAAAGGACCTGGTTCAATTCCCAACACCCACATGACAGTTCACACTGTCTGTAACTCCAGTTCCAGGGGATGCAGCATCCTCACACAGATATACATGCAGGAAAAACCCCAGTATACATTTTTAAAAAATGACATTATTGCTAAAATTTTAAAATCTGGCTAGGTGTGATAATGCATGCCTATAACCCCAGCACTTGGGAGACTAAGGCAGGAGGACCATGAATTCAAGACCGAAAAAGGTGGTGAAGAGTTATAAAATCTGCACCTATAAGTAAGGGAAGGGAGAAATCCCATCAACTTTTGAACTAAAGTTATCAAGTAAAGTCAGTTCATAACTCTCAAAGACATGCAGGGACGGGATGTAGCAGAAAGGGATTTATGGGTATACACACACACAAAGAGTTACCGTAAAGCAAATGGAAACAGGCTACTAGCCAGTAAGTGGGAAGGGACAGTCTCACCAGTGGCACAAACCACTATCAGCACTTCCTAACTCACAATGCAGATACAGTTCTCTTTAGACACAGATACGGGACTATTTATCCTGAGTTTACAGTCCAGGACATAAACAGCAAGATACATTTTCAGTTACTCACAAAAATTAGCAGACAGTCTGGCCCCAGTGCCAACATTTTTAGTGACCATTCTCCTATCTTTCTGCTTAGGGAAACCAAGGGAGAAAATACAAAGTGCTAAACAAACCAGAACAGAAGGACTGAAGGCCAGCAGATCAAATAAGTTGGCAGACTTTTATAATTAAAAATGAGTAAGTATATGCATGCATTTTAACACATGGCATTGGACTTGCCAAGTACATGAGCCAAAACATGGGTCAAACAGCAATTGGAACCAGTTTAAAGGATCTACAAACAAGGGAATAGTTATGTAAACTATTAAAGATCCTCATGATAGAATGTTATATGATAATCTAAAAATGAAACTTTTGAGTAACAAAAACACCACATTGGGAAATGCTCACAAATAAAACATTAAATAAAAAAAAAAAAAAAACAAGCACACTGTTCATACAATACCAGGCCCTATCTTAGAAACAGCACTATATAATTACATAATGACTTTAAAAGGGCGGCTGGAGATACTCCTCAGTGATTAAGAATGACTACTGCTCTTGCAGAGAACCTAACTTAGGCACCCAGCACCCACACTGGGCAGCTCACAATCACCTGTAACCCCAGGTCCAGGGAATCTGACACCTCCTTCTGGTGTCCATGGATGCACACATAAGGACTGCTGAGACAGAATCACATGTAGCTCAGAATGGCCCTAAGCTCAGCATGTAGCCAAGCATGGCCTCATCTCCTGATTCTCTTGCTTGTATGTCCCAAGCTCTGGAATTTAGATGTGTGCCACTATGCCTGGTTTATCAAATTCTTTTTTAAGTGCCGGTGCCTGCAGAAGCCAGAGGAGGAGGTCAGATCCTGCGGAGCTGGATTATAGGCAGCTGTGAGCTGCCCAATACAGGTACTGAAGACTAAACTCAGGTCCTCTGGAAAAGCAGTACACACTCTTAACCACTTAGCCTTCTCTCCAGTCTCCGTTTTCCAAATTTTTAACAAAGCACAGACAAGTAAAATGTTTCTATTTCTGTAGAACATTTAATTGGGGGGGGTATTTTCTTTAATGGGGGGGTAGAGAATAGGCAAATTATCTTTTGGGTTTGATTTTTTTCTTTTGGAGATAGGGTCTCATGCAGCCCAGGCTTGGCCTCAAATTCACTATATAGTCAAGAATGACTTTGAATTTTCCCTCCTGCCCCCACCTTCAGGGCTGGTATCATAAGCAAACACCACCTTACTGGGTTTAAATTACCTTTACTTAAATAATGAAATGGCATAAAGAAGTTAAGATAAAACATATTGACCGGGCATTGGTGGAGTACACCTTTAAGCCTAGCGGTTGGGAGGTAGAGGCAGACGGATCTCTTCGAGTTTGAGGCCAGCCTGGTCTACAAAGCGAGTTTCAGGACAGGCTCCAAAACAATACAGAGAAACCCTGTCTTGAAAAGAAAGAAAGAAAGAAAGAAAGAAAGGAAGGAAGGAAGGAAGGAAGGAAGGAAGGAAGGAAGGAAGAAAGGAGAAAAAAATTTTTCTTTTTTTCTTTTTCTTTTTAAAGAGTTATTTATTATGTATACAGTGTTCTGCCTGCACATCAGAAGAGGGCACCAGATCTCATTATGGTTGTGGGCTACCATGTGGTTGCTGGGAAGTGAACTCAGGACCTCTGGAAGAGCGGCCAGTGCTCTTAACCTCTGAGCCATCTCTCCAGCCTGTGAAGTTTTATTTCTAATCATTATGGTTTTAGTGGCTCTTCAATTCTGTGATCAGCTACTTGGCTATTAAACCAAGTAACTCCTAGTTCTAATATAATCAGTCCCTACTATGAATATGTTTATACCAATGTCCAAAGTCTACCACATCATCCTGGGCTGGGGCTGGGCCCTTCCCCATGTGTCCAGGGGAAGAGTGCATCCCTTCACGTGGGATGGGCTCTCCCATTCCTGACTCTTAAATTTAACTCTGATTTAAAAGCTTCATGTCTATATTCATAGGACAATAAACCTGAAGGATCAAATACATTACCATTCCTAAAATTAATTTAATACATACTAATGACTCAGTCTGTTTTCAAAATTCTATTGGAACATTTTTTAAAGATTTATTTATTTTATGTGTTTGAATATATCTGCATGTATGTACGTACACCTCATGTGTGCTTGATTAAGGCCAGGAGAGGGCATTAGATCCCCAAGAACTGGAATTATGAATGATTATGAGCCATCAGCTAGGTGCTGGGAACCAAACCCAGGTCTTCTTCAAAAGCAGCAAGTGCTCTTAACCACAGAGCCATCCTTCCAGTCCTCAAAGTGCTATTCTAAGAAGTCAAGAAAACACTCATGTTAAGGCCCACTTCAGGTACATTTAGAGATAGTGGCAGCATGCAGGAGTTCTATTAACACTGGCTGGCTTCACAAACCAACATAGAATATAAGAAAAATGTATTTCTCAAATGTATTTCCAATGTTTAAAAAAAAAAAATCAGCTGGGACAGGTCTATAGGGTAGAGTGATCTAACTAAGAAGATTGCCAGAAATAAAGCATCCTAGCATATGCTTTGAAGTGTGGTTTATAATTATGCTGTCTTAATTTTACTCTTGGATTTTTTTTCTTCCCATCCCAACCCCCACCATAAAGAGCTACCCTCCCCAATAAGTTTATACTCTTGAAATATTTATACAGTTGTATACTTCTGCTGTCTTGGTTCAGCCAAGTTCTACGGTTTTCATTTATATTCTTTCCTCATCAGTCAGCCTCTTCAGTCTTTTAAGCATTCCTGTGGGTCTCCTGTGAACTCTCTCCAACTGGTCCCCAGCACTCTTGTAATGAGGTGCCTCCAACTGACTGCAGCCTTCCAGGAATAGCCCAGTCAATCAGAACAAGATGAGCTCACCCTCTTCTGTCCCATGACATAATACTTCTGAGTGGGCAACTCCCCAAATCACAGAAAGCTGGTGTGTTGCCATACTAGACTAAACCCCATTCCTTATCTCTCAGGTCTAGGCACTGGGGCATGCAGAACACGACAAAACCCAGAGCATAAATGATATATGTCTTGCAACATCTCTCTTACTGGAGGAGAAAGTGAGCAGAGAGGAAAAAGTATTTTCAAGTTAAATATGCAGATAAGTACCCAGAACACAAAAGTTCTATGAATTTCTAATGCTAAAACATGGGTGTGTTCAAAACAGTCGTACATATTTATACTTAAGACCAAAAGGCTCGTTGGTGCTGGGCTGCCAGCTGCTGCCCCTGCCATGGTCCTGAAAGCTCTTGTGCATACAAGCCTGAAAAACACACACTTCTCCTGCACCCAGGTCCCCACCCACTACCGAACTGCAAATACTAATTTACTGCCGTTTCCCCATCTCTAGAGAGCTTTGTTTTCCCTTTGGTTAGATGTATTTTCTAAAACTACAGGAACACTTCAACGTGTTAATTCACTGGCAACCCAACACCTTCGGTTCCTCTGCACGACTCACTCTTCATTGCACGTTTCTTGAGCATCAGCCAGACTACCCACTAAAAGCTGAAGTCCTGAGGCACAAGATAAATAAGACAGGATTCTTCCACTTCCTTTTCCACATTTCTTTTCTCTTTCCTTTTTGTATTCGAAATCAAGTGCAAGGCCTCAGACATACTACACAAACCCTATCACATAAAACTAACTCCCTGCCCTTGGTTTTTTAAAAGTGCCTTAACCATGTACTCAAGACTGGCCTAAAACATGCTACGTTGCCCAAGCAAGACACAGTACTTCCTTTAAAACAAACAAACAAAAAAACCATTAAATTATCTGATGAGTGCATAAATGTACAT